GGGGGGGGGGAGTTCAGGGGTCAGGGCAGAGGCCTGAGGTGTGTGGGGAGGTGCAGGGCAGAAGGCTGGGTGTGTGTGGGGGTTCAGGGCAGAGGACTGGGTGGCTCGGCTCGTGGGGGTGCTCCCAGCCCCCTGCCCTGAGCGGCTCATGGCAGGGGGCTGAAAGGGATATGCCCTGTTCCACCCCCTTCCCCAAGGTCCCGTCCCTACCTCTTCTCTGCCTCCTCTATGGAGCAGCGAGCATGCTGCCGCTCGGCTCTGCTCCACTCCCCCTCCCCCTCACATGAGCTATCAGCTGATCGGCACAGGGAGAGGGAGAGGGAGGAGGAGGGGAGGAAAGCACCACGCTGGGGGAAGAAGTGGGGGAGGGGTGAAGCTTGGCTGCTGCAGGACCAAGCTTCTGCCTCCTGCCCCCGCAAGGGAGAGCGGTGGGCGGGGGGGCTGAGTGGGGCTGAGGACCAGGACCGAGGTAGACAGCAGAGTGCCAGTCAAAATTGGTTTGCATGCCATGTTTGGCACACGTGCCCTAGGTTGCCAACCCCTGCTTTAAACTATTGTAATGTACATGCAGAATAGACACATCCTTTCGCAAATTTAAGGCTCCGATAATTAGTAAAGGTAAAGACTTTTTCTGTGAGTAATACAGATTAAGTCAAATCCGAGTAATAAAACTCAACAGCAGAGGGAAAATACTGTGAAAATATACATTTCTGCTGTGGACCCATGTGAATGCAGGCATCTTGATTGCATTTCTCAAAAAGATAAAGTTACATGTTATCACACAGCTCTTTCTAAGCAAGCACTCTATTCTTAAGGTGAACGCATCGCAGAGAAAACCTATTAAAAACAATAAATGAACCCATACACTTTCTAAAAAGCTTACCAGAGATCAACGAACTCCAACAAGGACTCGACTAGGTGTCAGTCCTTCCAACCCTTTCTCAAGGATTTGGGGCCCTTCTTTGAACAGAAGGTCCTGTCCATTTGCTGGATCAGTTTAAACTCAGACTATTTATCCCAGAGTCATTTCTTGTCTGTTGGTCTCTGGAGAATCAGTATATGTGAGCCTTTCCAGGAGGTGGTACCTCTGTAGTGGGGTTACAACTGGGCTGATTTGCCTTGATCACCACCCGCTGTTTTTAATTCTTGGAAGAGGGGTGGTAGCCCTCCCCCGTGGCCTAGAACACACCATACATAAACCATTATTTTAAAACAATGGTCATGAAAGATATTTAAACTTAATTCATCAAAGGTCTCCCAATGATATTGCAGGAAATTGCTTTATCACAGGAAGAATTTTCCTCTCTGCTGGCTACTTGTGTCCCAGAGATGTTCAAGTGATTACTGCTACTGTCTGTTTAGATACTACTACTGCAGTCATCATGGAGGATGTCCAATAAGTGGTTTTTATAAAACCATCTTGGCACAGCCTAGTGGAGGCTGGGTGCAAAAGAGACCCAGGGGCAAGACCAGATTAAATCAGCAATAAACCCATCTCGGTTTTTCCATGTTTTCCTAGCAATGTGGGATTTGCCATACTGAATCAGACCCATTGGTCCAACAAGCCCAGTCTGGCCTCTAGCAGTGATCGATATTGATGCTTTAGCAGAGTATAAGGAAAAAAACCCCGATGAAGCACCTAGCTCATTAATACCAACCCCACTCGTGACATTCTGTACCTCCTTTAAGCCACATCAAAAAGTCTTTGTTCTCTAATAAGAATCAGCTCAATCTCTTTAGTCTTTCCTCATCACAGGTGCTATTAAAATTTGGAATTATTCTAACTACTCCACAACCTGTCAAGGTAACATTTTCCCTATGGAAATATGATCAAAATCTAAACTAAGTGTTCACAATTAAGTCTCACCAATTCTTTATCTTGTACCAATATAAATTACTCTGTTTATATTATTTCTTAATTCATCTGCTTTTTAAAAATAATCTACATACAGTGGACTAGTGGCATCACAGGGGATTCTGATATAAGCTTATGATTCCAGGAGCTGGGGCTTTAAGAAAAACACTAAATATTGTGAGGTAAAATTGCAAGAGTTGGCAACACTCCTGAGAAGTCGGGGAACGAGCAAGCAGATAAGATCTAGGAAAATAATAGTTGTTAGTTAAAAGGAGAGTTGTTGTACAGATGTTATTCACAACCACTGCAACTACCTAGTTATTTATAACAGATATCGTCAAAACATTGAAGTTTTACATTAGATGCTTACATCCAAAACAGTTATGCATACTACCAACAAGAATTTTCTCAAAACTGAATTTTCTGATACCTCATAGGCAATATCTCTGTAGTATGCTTCTAGTACATCATCTCAGTGTAGGATTTACTTGAACCACTTTTCTATCGAAACACTATTTACTTGGGCTTCAGCCTAGTTTCCCAGATGTGAAAAGGCATTAGCAACAGAAAAGAAACCTTCTACTTGAATGGAGTGCACCACTGTGGGTAAGTTCTTCCCCTTCTTAGTTCCCCTAATCCTCTTCTGTTGCTGCACAGCTGTGCTTGCAGCACGTTCCTGATTTTACTTCATTTGGAAACACTCATACAAGGCCTGGTTGTGCTTCTATTATCATTTACTAACAGTACTAACATAATGCCGGAAGGCCCCAGTAAACATCTCATAGTAAGAGAGAGTGTCTTCCCTGAAGAACTTCCACTCCTTGCCTTGTCTGTTTAGATTGTGAGAAAAAGAGGTATTATCCCCAGCCTACAGATGGAAAACTAAGGAACAGAGAGATTCAGTGACTAGCCCAAGGTCCTACATGGAGTCTGTTATCTCAAGTCCCAGTTCAGTGTCGTAACCACTGAACCATCCTTCCTCTCAGGATACTCAAATCACAATCCCTCCCAGCACACCGGGGAAGTGTGCAAGATGCAGCATCTATTTGGAAGGTGAAGCCATGCTCACCTTCCCAGCTCATGCCAGTGTGGAAAAGAGAAGGAATCAAGGCCAAATTCCACCTTCTCCCTGCTCCCTTCAGAGTGACTTGCCCCCAGGAACACTAGGCAGGAACAGTCCCTGTGCTTCTTGTGCCGTCCTTCATTTGTGCCAGGGTCAGAAACTATCTGGCCCAGAGACTAGTGATTAGTCACTCAAAGGCTGTTGGCACCACATTGCATATTGTTCTCAGGGCATGGAGAGCAAAACAAGCTGAGACAGTTCCAGTGTGCAACTCTCCTATGATGTAGGAGAGCTGGGATCTCATTCTTAAAAAAATAATCCATTTATAATTCCATAGGAAGCACTAAACTATAAACTACACTGTTACCAGGGCAATTATGGCAGATATAATGAGCAGGGCCGGCTCCAGGCACCAGCCTAGCAAGCAGGTGCCTGGTGCGGCCAATGAAGAGGGGGGGCGGCACGTCTGGCCCTTTCGGCAGCAATTCGGTGGCGGGGCCGTCACTCCCTCTGGGAGCAAAGGACCTGCTGCCAAATTGCTGCCGTAGAATGAAGCGGCGGTAGAGTTGCTGCCGCGATCGCGGCTTTTTTTTTTTTTTGGCGCTGCTTGGGGCGGCAAAAATGCTAAAGCCGGCTCTGATAATGAGGCTAACGTTACTAATGTATTTAGTTGCAGAGCTGCAGTTATAGATTGTTTACAGTATTGGTGGCCAAGATGTAAGATCACGGATTTGGTGAAAGTATCATATCTCGTACCCCCAGATTCCTGACAGGAACTTTGGAACAATTGCAGCAGATGATGCCACCCAGGTAATCCATCCCTGGTATTACAGCAAGCCCAGTGAATTCTGGGACAAGTCTTTGAGAATTCAGTCAGTATTGTGTGACTCATACAAACTACACATGGTCAATAAAGCTTAAATAGTTGTATACCTCTCTATTGGGTTTCTATGCCCTGATTTAAGGAGCTGCCAGTAACTAGAAATGCTGTACTACACTATACCACCTTTTGGGAGGGAGAGAGAAGAGGGAAGGGGGGAAAAATACCTTTTTTCACCCCTGGTGTCTGGGTTCTGAAGCAAAGAATACTGAAGGTTTAGCGGGCCCATGCAGTGGCTTGCCACATATCTAGCCATTCCCTTTCACTGGATCTCATAAACCTTCCTTTTCCTGCCGTTGCTGGATCAAAAGTAAACGTCTACATCCTGATATCAGAAAAGAATATTGATCAGTCATAGAGATGACCAGTTTTTTTTTTTTTTTTTAAGAATGGGAGCCTATTATTTCATTTCTGCTTTGTTTCCCTGTTACAACAGCTGGTAAAATAATTTTCTTTAGCTCGTCAGCAATTCCTGCGCTTTGGGAGATTGCAGAGATGTCATGACCTCGGACTAATGGGAGAGATAACATCCAGTCTCTGACTCAGCTAAGTAGCTTGATATTCTTGAGCCTTTTCTGTTAATTGGTATTATTGGTCATGAGATACCTCTTGCCAGAGACAATATTTTGTAAAAGCTCACAAGGGAGAGCTCTTGGAGCCACTTACCTACTGTAAGATTTGCTCTGGTTTTGTCTTGTTAAATGGATGTGTTAAGCCTGCTGTCTGTAGTGTAGTGAAACTCTCCATTGTTGACCAATATATGCTGGCTACTTACATGTATATTATATTGATGACATGTATTATCCACACCATATATATTAAGCACAAATATTACCAAGCATAAATATAGCAGTTAAATAGTCTAAATTGGCCTATATCTTTATTATATTCCTGTTCACTTATGCTAAGTATTCCATAACACTTTGCATAGCTGAAGTAAACTATGGCTTAAGTAGATAGGAAAGCTGTCAGGATCAGGACATGTGATTATTGTATTATAGCAACAGAATGGGAGTTCCCCTCACAAGCTAACTACCCTAGGACAAACCTAGGAGGTGTCTTCATGTTCTTTAGTACCTCAAACATGTGTGTTCAGAACAAAAATAAGGGGTACATCATGCTACCAGAAAAATAAGGTAGAAAGCTGCTCAGTTAAATCTAGTTTCAGATGACATACACAGTACCTTTTACTGGTAAAGAGGTAGGGGATAAAAAGATGGTTTTAGGGGTGTAACTTCGGGAGCACACCTTCTGTGCAAGGTGAATGTAACAATGCTGCATGAGACAGCTTCCTGGAAAATGGTATCATCCATATAGAACCTTTTCCCTGTACTATATTATTATTGGCCTAGAGCAATAAACCTGACTGGCATTGGTTATGGCCTCTTGAATATATTTCATAGCAAACCAGAGTGTGGTCAAGCAATTGACTATGCAACTTATCAACACCATAGAAGTGGGGGAAGGAGGGGAGAGAGAGCGAGAGAGAGAGAGGGGAAAGGCACCAGTTCCTAAACATTAGGGGCCTCCGTCCTGTCACCCTTGCTCATATTAAGTAGTAAATTACCCCACAGGGTTGCTTCTGTGGTGAAGCATTACTCAATATAAGAGTGGCAGAATTTGGTTGTAAATGACTTTTTGAATAGCAAATATCACTCTACAATTACTTTATACTGGAGACAATTTAAACCTAGTGCCTGTTCTTTAATAAAATAAATAGTTTCACATTCAAGTTTAACATTAACATTTCTTTATTGTAAAGACAAGCTAAAAACAGTTTGCAGCCCTGTCTAAATGAAGCTGTCAAATACAAAAATTCTAAGAACAACCACATGAAAATGTCTTGCCTCTGCATCCCGCTGCAAGACCTAGGATTATTACTAATTATTTCTAATCTTTTTTGTCATGCAATAGTAACAGTTCTAATTCTTACCATGCATTTGCGATCATCCACCCCTGCTAAATCCTCCTCAAACTCTTTTCCTACATCAAATTCCATGATGTAGTTTCTAAAAGTGCTTAGCGTTTTAATGATCATATGATCTCCATTCTGAATGATTTCTTTGTCAGGTTTTAGCAAGTTGGCAATTTTTCTCACAGCAATGTTTACATCTGAAAACAAAACGGAAAAAAAAGATCTGCAGTAAAGCCACAAATCTACAACAATACAAGACTTGTAAAACTTGAGAGGATTGGGATGGACCAAAACACAAATAAATAGTTCCCTGGCTGTTTTACTAAAGTTCATTACACGTGAATTAATTTGCTTACTTGGCAAAAACCTTGTACCCTTTACATTTGTTACCACAACAAATGTGTGTTTCTAAACAAACAGATGAAAGGAAACATGACATTACTAATTCCTACTGAGATATTTGAACAAATTCATTCTGATTACTTAAAAATGCTACTTCTATAGAAATAAGCATTTTACGGGCCTCCCTGCCAACTGCATACACACAAACTTTTACATCAAGCACATTTTGTTTTCTTTCCACCTACATACACTCACTTTCTCCTCTCTTGAATTTTTTTTTAAATGTTGAGAGAATAAATTTTGCTTGCCCTTTAAAGTTCTGTAGTTGAATCTCTGCATAGATTAGTGGTAGTAAGGTAAAAAGCAAACCGGTCGTTTAAAACAAATCAAACAAAACTTTGCATAAGAAAGTAATCATATTTTTTGAAGAAAGCATTTTTTAAGAATGCATGAAAATTGTGGCTGTGACTATCCCAGAAGAAATCAAATCCAACCCAAGACTAAGATAGGTGGCATTTTATTGATTATTTGCTAAAGAAACATGAAAGGAATCTTACCCAGTGCTTTCAGATACTCCTCAAAATTGTCATTGCTAAGCATTTTCCAGTAACCATTGAAATTTGCAGGCATTTCTGGGGTATATGATCGCCAAAACCAAAGCCTCAGAACAGCGAGTTGATTCTGTACCACACAGCTCAATGTCTGTCCTCTGTGGTGAGTTTGAACTCTGGTTTCTTTTATCTGTTCTTCAGACCATGCAGTTATACGAGCCTCTCTAATCCGATTACCGCTGAAGGGTTACCATTAAATCCTTCCACAAAGCTGAACCTTTTAGATTTATAATGACAGCAGGATGGCTTCATTTAAATGGAATGGAACTTTCACCTTCCATACAATGGCTGTAAGGCCACTGATTATCTGAGTATCCATTTTATCCACATTACTCCTCCCCTTTTATGCTGCTTAGAAAATAAGATGGCTGGTTTAGGCATGTGGATGGACGTTACAATAGGTAGCTGGGTATAGTGGACACATTGGGTGGCTTCTGCAGATAATTGAAATCCTGTTTCTTTGGAGTATTTGAGAATATTTTCAGTGTTTTTTTAATCTCTTCCCCTCAGAAGAGGATCACACAAACTCTACCAGTGAAAGTAATTGTGTATTCTGTTTTAGAATCTAGTAATAAGCCATGATTATACAGTCATCTTCAAGCGAGGGGTGATGCCAGATATTGACTGGTTGGTGAATTGATGGCTCAGGAAAAGCCAGTCATTATTCAGCAGAGGTTATTACTAGGGAGCAATGGCCAATTCCAGTTATCTTATGTCTTCATCAGTGCTGCATGTCTTTATTAATCAGAGCATGCTGTTAGTTAAGGGAATGCAAACCATGTTCAGACACTGGAACAAGAAGCATTTCAGGAGACATTACATACAGCTGAAGTGAGCAAGTGAAAAGTTAGTGCTACAGTACCAGATTATTCAAACAATAATATATCATTGCTTGAAGGAAGTAGCCTGAGATTGTAGAATCTTCCTACACTTAGGGACAGGTCATGGCTGTCAATTTAAAAGCAAATAAAACACTTCACACAAGCTGTAACCTGCCTGTGGCATCCACTAATGCAAGAGTTCATAAAGTTAAACAGCACAGCTAGCTTTTAAAAGGGGCAAGAGAATTTGATGACCAAGTATACCAGTTGTAGTTGTGCAAGCTGAAATACAGATAATCAGATCTCATGCTTTTGGACAGAAGCTAAATCACCACCAGTAAGAAATGTTTTCCCTAAATATACAGCACTGCATGATAAGCTCAGTGGGTTTTGAGGGGAAGGTGGAATGTCACCTGGAAAGCATCATGTAAAAGTAGTCAAACAGACTTGCTGTACCAATGTGACATGACGCAGTATTGCAAATACTATATTCGTATGTTCCTAATGCAACAGTGGGCAGGGGCAACCAGGCTAACATCATTCTGGATCCCTCAGGCATTGGAAGTTCACTGAGAACAGATGAATATCCTCTTGGATCTTCAGAAAAGATGTATGTGGAGTAAATACAATGTAATAATTGTGCATAACATCCTGATGCAACAGGGTGACATGTATGCTCCAGCTCCAATCTTGCAACAGAGACAAAGGGAGCGTAGTCAATCTGATTTTGGAGTGGGAAAACTGCATCTGAAATCAGATGCAAATAACATAGCAAATGTCTTCCTTGACCCTTTATCTTGACTCATGTTGCAAAGAGTATCCTGCTACAAAGAGCTGAACTAACGAAGAGCTAAATGACATATCCAGATAGATCTCCATAGTACATACCAAGCTGTATTGTAAGTATAAAATGCATGTCCACACCCAAAGGTCATTTTAATTTATAACCTTGTCATTTCAGATTATGTAAATATGGAAATTAAACAGCTACATGTCTCTATCAGTGCTACATCATATAGTAGCGACCACTCCCTGAGCTATGGGGCAGATCCAGAGGTCTGCTACTGAGGGAAGTACAGTGAAAATGTGCAGCCAAGGACAGTCACAACAATCAAGACATGATGATTCTCCAGTACCTTCCAAATAGCCTGTGACTGGAAGTGGATTATCACTCTGCTCAGCTCCTGCTCAGTGTCCTACTTGCAGTTTCTCCATCTTCACGTCTGGTGTCTGATACAGGAGAAAAATGGCCACTAACAAGCCCATGTATCAGCATGCAGTCACCAGAGAGGGCAGACAAGTTGTCCCACAACACCTGCCAATGTGAGCATAGATTGGCACAGTACATTGTTTAAATCTTGCAATATGTGCCCAGATAACTGTAATGCTTCTCACAGGATACAACATCAGCGCTGATACGGGATACAACAAAATAGCGATGTGGTTGCACTATTAGAGGTTAAATTACCCCGTGACTAACTACCCCATGCTTAACATGCACTGAAACACAGCCAAAGCCACAGTGCTCCAGAGTCCACTCTTGAGGCAGTGCAGCTTACACAATCCCTCCCTCCCTTTCTTTTGTCGAGTCTTCTACAGCAAAGTTGAATTTGACAGGATCTGTAAGATGTTAGCCCAGCACATGGAGCAATGCATTCGAATGGTTTACCGCGTCCATTGTGACATTTAAGGAACAGCTACTCAGTAGGCACCTTAACTACTTTCACTGCATTATTCATTATAGAAACACTACAGTTCAAGTTGCACAGTTATACTAAGCAATAACCCACTGTTTTAGGTAATAAACCATATCCCTTTCAAATTACATCAGACTTTCCTATTAGTAGTAAACAAGATGCCCATCAACATAGTATCTAGCTCAGGGGTGGGCAAAATTTTTGGCCTGAGGGCCACATCTGGGTATAGAAATTGTATGGTGGGCTATGAATGCTCACAAAATTGGGCTTGGGGTGTGCGAGGGGGTGAGGGCTCTGGTGGAGGGTGCGGGTTCCTGGGTGGGGCCAGAAAGAAGGGGTGCAGGAGGGGGCTCCTGGCTGGGGCAGTGGAGTGGGGAGCGGAGGGGGGGGTGAGAGCTCCAGCTGAGGATGGAGATGAGGGATTTGGGGTGCAGGAGGGTGCTATGGGCTGGGATCAAGGGGTTCAGAGGGTGGGAGGGGGATTAGGGCTGAGGCAAGCGGTTGGGGCGTGGGGAGAGCCTCAGGGGTACAGACTCTGGGTGGTGCTTACCTCAAGCGGCTCCCAGAAACAGTGGCATGTCCCTTCTCCGGCTTCTACATGGTCAGGCGGCTCTGCACGCTGCCCTGTCCATAGGCACCGCCCCTGCAGCTCCCATTGGCTGTAGCTCCCGGCCAATATGAGCTGCGGGGGCACCGCTTGGGGCGGGGGTAGTGTGCGGAGCAGAGGCCCCTGGCTGCCCCTACACATAAGAGCCGGAGGGGGGCCATGCCACTGCTTCCAGGAGCCACGTGGAGTGGCCCCCAAACCTGCTTCCTGGCTGGAGTGCCGGAGCAGGGCAAGCCCCAGACCCCACTCCTCAGCGGAAGCTCGAGGGCAAGATTAAAATGGCTGGTGGGCCAGATTCGGCCCGTGGGCCGTATTTTGCCCACCCTGATCTAGCTACTATATGAGTTATGTAATTATGTCTGGCAAACAAAATGTTGCTACCATTCAAAATATGTATAGCCACCTGACTAACCAAACACATTTTATAACCAACAATATCTGATATCACATCATCAGTTAATGCTGCATTTGTTGTTTCTTTTATTCTTTTTCCTTAAAAGTATTTTCTCAACTATGAGCTGTCCAGTAATCCAGGGGACACAGATCAATTAGGCCTTCCCATATCAGGCACAGAGGAAACAGATTTTTGGAAAATATCCTCTTTTATTGCAAACTTCTAAGCATTATACACAAAGTAGAATGCAGCATGTGTGCGCTATGAAAGCCAATGCAAAACACAATCTCATTGTTAAAATGAATCCCATGACACCAAAAGAGCATACAGTGTGAACAATCATTGTATTGAATTTGTATGATTTTATACAGGACATCTACAGATTGCTGAGTTGGAAAAACTCAGAGATTACTTCAGGGAAAGCGGTAGATAAATTTCACCACTTCCCATAAATTATTAACAGAATCTTTCAAAACTTTGGCTGGCATTACTAGGTTTCAGAAGTGCTGAGACATCTCTAGGGGCTATTCTTGCAGAAGGAAAGGGAACAAGAACAGTAGAATCAAGTGAGTTGTTTAGATATTCTCACCTGAATGCAAGGAAAGAGAGTGTAGAATCTCCAGTGCTGCTCCCTCTTCTTGATGTTGACATAGGGGGCATGGCTGGGGCTCCCTTATAGCTGGGCTGCTATATCAATAGCTTCAGGCTTTTGACAGCCAGCTGCTCTAAATTATTCCAAGGGACTGGGCTAGCATATACTGGACTCAGGAGGAAAGCAAAGAACCCCCTTTAAATGTCTCATTATGAGCTGGATTGAAATTAATTAATGGGATTTAAGCACACGCGTAAGTGCCTTCCTGAATCAGGGCTTGATTTCTGATCTGCCAACATATACACTCACACAAAATTGAACGGTATTATGTGATACAGTGAAATCATTTTTCTTTCAGGATCCTATAAAGTAGAAATGTGGCAACAACTATGTACATTTTACCAGTTTATTGAAAATATTCCTGAGAAAGAAATATGACAATTTTATTCTCACTGCCTGCAAATGGCCAAGACACATTCAAACTGAAACAGTTCCTGGTATTAGAGGACTATAATATAGGAAAGCACTAACTACAGCCATTGAGATCATTTAAGTCACGACAAGAATCCCTCAACAATAACTAAAGATTTTAATATTTGTATTAAAAACAGAAGAAATGTAATGTAAATTAACTCTTAGTGGAGATCTTAAAACCGATAGCCCTTTGCACATAACATCTTAGGAAAGCATGAATTCAGTAGTAATATAAAAACTTTTCTGAATTATTCTACAAACTTTCAGAAATATAGCTAGTTGCAGCTCCCTACAACCTATTTCACTTTCCTCCATACACAAATATTGTGCTTTTTGCAGGGATTTTCCAAAAATAAATGCCATTGTGTTCTCCCCATTTGATGGAATACCGACATCAATCATTTAGTGTGTTTGTCGTTGTGTTGCGTACTTTCATAGGCTGAAGTTAAATCCCCTTTATTTTTCCCTCACTCTCTTCTGTGTAGATATTATAGTGCTTAATATAGGAAATGACAGAATCTGGAATGAGATACTTCACACTTAGTCCTTTGCATAAAGCATGTCGTATATGCGTGGCACTGATTTCATTCTGAATCTGTTCTGTGACCAGGTGGATATTGTGCTGGAATTGAGTCAGAAGTTCTGATTCACTGATGTACTGAACAGGGTCAGAGCCAGCACGGCTAATACACACCAAACCAAACTTTTCTACTATTTCTTTAATATGTTCCTCCTTCCAGAGATTAGGTGTACTAAATGTCTTCAGAATGTCAGCTCCGCAAAGCAGCTTTAACTCCGGGGAAACTGGAAAAGCAAAAACAAATGGAAGTTTTATGAAGATCCTTATTAAAGATGAAAAAAAGTTGATGAGGATGAGGTTAAGTTTTTCACTTATTTCTGGTATTTTACCCAAATTTCTTTTGAAAAGTTACATGAAATATTCTGCTTGGAAAAAGAGTAAGGAATTGGAGACAGAGGTCCACTGTCTAATCACCAATCAGATCCCAAAACAACCCAGACTCCGTTGGCCAACTATATCTCGACCCATAGGATTTAAAAGGTGATCTGTATGATTGTAAAGGACAGTTATTGCAGTATTTTTTATAAGCAACAAAGATGAAATACAATCAAGGGGTATTTAAGGGCATGAATTTGGCTTATAGGGTATTAGGCTGGATAATAGGCCATACATTGAGAAACTAGTACTCCACCCATTGAGGTTCTATTCACTACTCAATATAGGCTTGATCTTATATTCAAGTTAATGGAAAAACTCCCGTTGACTACCACAGTGAAGGATTGGGCAGCTGGGGTGCATACAGCTCCCACAAGCATTTTAGCAGTTTCATCTATGCACTGGGGAGTGATGAGATCTCTCAGCTGTGAAGTCATTCTTTTTTTTTCCAGAGTACTCCTGACCGAGCCGAGGCAACTTCCAGCAACCAAGATTAATATTACTGTTGGGTACTGGTAAAGTAAGGCTATTAGAGACCTATCTTCCATCTCAGCATCATCTCCTAAATATAGGTTAGGAGTAATAAAATCTAATAATATTAAATCAACCTTTTTTAAAAAATTAAAATAATGGACAAAACCCCCAAGACCAGGAAATTCAGCACTAAGGCTGTCACTGCACTTAATTCACCATGTTGCATGGGAGTACATAAGTCCTCGCAGAAGGTAAGATCACATACTTTTCCAGTACCTAGTAACCTAGTAAGCAAGAGGTGGTGAATTAAGGACAAACCAGAATTACTGTAATGTGGATGTTCTTCGTTTAGTTGGTTTATCTCAGAACCTCATTACAGTTATACTCAAAGTAAGTGTTTATGGTTTACATTTCTGCTATGTTTTGTTAGGTTTACATCACAATTACACACACAAGAACTATGTTAAAAGAACATTATTAAGGTTGCAAAGTCAAGCACCCAAAAGTTAGGAAATGCCTGAATTAAGGTTGCCTGTGAACCTTAGTGTAGCCCCTCTGTGCACATGCTTTATGACACAATCTTTAATTACATGTTCATACACAATTTTTCCCAGAGGACAGTCTCATTCAGTACACAGAGTGGACAGGGCTCATCTAATCAGCAGCTTTTCATTTCCCCCTCCCCTCATAATTGTACAATGTGTGGCCCCCTGCTTTATTACTGCACTCTATTCAAACTCTGCTCCAAAGACACAATCCTTACTTTCCTCATGGGCTTTTCCAGGGCACACATCACTGGCATAATTAATGTGTACCAACATTAATTTATTTCACAACACCCTTGTAAGTTGAAGAGACATTATCCCCATTTTACAGTTGGAGAACTGAGGGAGAGAGAGATTAAGGTCAAAAGTATCTACTAATTTTGGGTTTCCAATTTGAGATGCCTAGGACCATATGTAGCATTATATAGTGTTTTTATATGTTCAAAGCACAACTCCCATTGACTTAAGTTGCAACAGTGAGTGCTCAGCCATTCTGTAAACCAGACACCATTCCCTCAAATCAGCTACTCAGAAAATGAGGAACACACAATTAGTGATTACCTGTGAAAAGTCTGGTTTCAATGACTAGCCTAGCATCACATACGAACTTTGTGGCAGAGGCAGGGCTAGAATTTAATTCTCCAGAATAGTATTCAACTGCCTTAACCATGAGATCATATTTTCTCTTCCTACAACCTTCTATCTCATTCATTACACACCTTCCAACTTCCACAATAAATGAAGCAGGGGTCTGACAGACAAGTCTCCTTTACTACACAATTTTGACTTATTCTAGGGTTACCATATTTTGTGCCTCCAAATGGAGGACA